ACACTGATGCTCAGTCCTACCCTTAAAGGCCCTGTGTACTTGGCCTGGGGTGTGATCTGGGCATCAGTATTTTGTAACAATCCCTGGGTGATTCTAATGTGTATTCAGGGCTGCAAACCACTGACCTATAATGTATTGGATTGCTGGAGAGAGGAGTGAGAGATGCATTTCTTGAGTCTTACAAGGAGCCCTCTTAGACTAGAGATGGCAGATGCCTTGGATTCTGTGATGCAAGACTCCTCGTAAATACGAATCTAAAATATATCTTATATACATACATGTTTTTTACATGCATTCATGTATATACAGTATGTGTATATATACATGTGTATGTACAAAAATAGTATAAACATTTATACATGTGTATGTATAAAAAAGTTTTTACATACACACATATACTTACACATGTACATATATACACACACCCCTGAAATAATATGGATATATTTCAAAGACAGCAATAGCCAATTGTTTTATACCCGCTAGTAAAAACATTTTCTTCCTGATTATAAACACTTGCTTATCATAAACTATTGAGTTTATGCAGAAAAGTATTTCAAAAGTTATAGATTTTCTCAAATGCCACCACACAGAAGAAATAACTGTTAACATATCTGATGACCGCACTTCCACTCGTCCCTCTGTGCCTATATACACATGTAGCCTAGACACGCAACTCAACGTCAATAGAATCCATTATGCATTCTGAACTGGAATCTGTGTTTTGTGAGCAGGATGGCATGGATAGCTTTCTATAAACCTACACAATAATTCTTATAAGATCTCACCACATTCAAGCTCTAACTGCTCCCAATAAATGGGAAATCTACTTTATCGTGAAAGGCAAGCAGCAGGGCTTGAGGGCTCTTGTGCTGGGGGAGAAGCCTGGGTGTGTCCAGGCAGGCCTGCAGCATGCTGGTGGACTGTCACACCCATCTGGGCGGTTGTGTGCTAGGGACAGAAGGGCTTGGCAAGCCAGGCTACAGCCACTTTTTGTAGTGCTAGCATCTGCCGAGGTTTCGTTTCATTCTTTAAGCCCTTTGAGATGTTCTGCTTTCACCTGCCTTCTAGACCACACGGAGAATGGCGTTCAGCAACAGTCAACGTAGAGCTGGATTCTGAACATGCAGGAGGCAGAGCCACCTCAGGGGGCATCTCAATGTTGATTGATTGCTGTCATGTGGGACGGGGGCCTCGTGTTCCAGTCGCCCCAGTTAATTGAAGGAAACCAGTATTATGTATTTCTATTTGATATCGTTTGGTTTTTACATGTGGCCGACAATTGTTTAAAAATTAAAAGCATTGTGAGACCAAACAAAACACACCTGAGGCTTTCTATAGTCATCTGGAAGGCAGCCTGAGACGTGTGGTCAACTAAGCCGTTGACGCATTTAGTCTACTTCAGTTCTAAAAATATTGACTGAATGCATAGTCACTGTTCAAAAGAATCGGAATACAATGATTAGAAGTGATGATCCTTGCCTCGGGGCGCGGGGGTAGCTTTGACGGTCCCCAGACCAGCAGGCACCGTATCACCTGGGAGCTTGTCAGACTTATAGAATCTTGGGCCTCACACCAGATGCATCCAATTAGAAACTGTATTTAGGAAACCTGCCCGGTGGTTCTGATGCCTGCTGAAGTTTGAGAGCAACAGACAGGTCTGGAAGGGGAGTCAGGCATATGGACTGAGATCTGGGGGATGGAGAAGGTGTGGTGTGAGGCGAGGAGGCGTTTTGGAAGTGAATGGCTCCACCTGGATCTTAAAAAGTGAGTAAAAGACTCCCAAAGAAGAGAGCACTGGAATGAGGTTCCAGGCCCTTTCTCTAGTTACTACAGAAGGTGAAGCCTGGAATTACTCCAGGTGTTTGATCTCACCTCATCTGACCTTCAATTTGCAAAGGCCTGAGCAATAGAAAGGAAAACAGGAAGGAATGCTGGGGAGAAGGAGACTTGGTGCAGAATCTTCATTAACACCAGGAGAGTTTCCTCTCTCCTGAAGGAATGCGAACCTTCTGGATAGAGGAGTCAAGAGTTGGCCAGGTGAAAATGAGGGAAGAGTTCACCAAGGCTTGGGGCAGCACGAGCCAGAGCCAGGCAGGAAGAGCGTGTGAAGGGCTTGTGTTGGATTGTCCATCAAGCGCAGGTGAGTAAGTGCTGAGGCTGCTCTGGGAAACGAGGTGGGAGAATAAGTTGGGGCAGGTGAGCTGGACTGTGATCTGTAGGGTCTACGGCAGGCGTCCCCAAACTACGGCCCTGCGGGCCACATGCGGCCCCCTGAGGTCATTTATCCGGCCCCCTGCCGCACTTCAGGAAGGGGCACCTCTTTCATTAGTGGTCAGTGAGAGGAGCACGGTATGTGGCGGCCCTCCAACGGTCTGAGGGACAGTGAACTGGCCCTCTGTGTAAAAAGTTTGGGGACGCCTGGTCCATGGCATCGCAGGAGATCCTTCAGCAGCAGAGTGTGGCGTTGGGTCTATCTGCAGGGAAATCATGCTGATGGTGAGGTTCAAATTCCTTTTGGATAGAGTAAACTCTCCTGGTGTCCCACTGGCCTCGATCCTGATTCTTGCCTTTCCTGGCATGACTTGGATCTGTGTCAGCAATTCCCGTCCTTAAATAGGGGAGCAGGCAGGGAGGGCCTGGCCGAGTGAAGATGTGGCTGTTGCTGCATGTGAAATAGCGACATTGGTGTCCCTGTTCTTTTCTACTTGGAGGAATGTGCACACCAAGCTGAACATTTAGGTGATTGCTTGCATTCCCAGCAATTGCAATGGTCTTTGTAATCCCATTTTAAAATGCCATTTTAAAGTTTCTGCAGCAAAGGTCCTGGTAAAACCCTGGCACTATTTTTTTCCTCCTTCCTGCCTTCCTGCTTTTCTCCCTCCCCCCTCCCTCCCTGCCTCCCTCCCTCCCTGCCTCCCTCCCTCCCTGCCTCTCTGCCTCCCTGCCTCCCTGCCTCCCTGCCTTCCTGCCTTCCTTTCTTCCTTTCCTTCTTTCCTTCTTTCTGAGATAGGGTCCTGTTCTGTTGCCCAGGCTGGAGTGCAGTGGTTGGATCACAGCTGACTGCAGCCTCATCCTCCTGGTCTTCAGTGATCCTCCTGCTGCAGCCTCCTGAGTAGCTGGCACTACAGGCATGCACCACCATACCCAGCTAAGTTTTAAATTTTTTTTTTTTTTGTGGAGACAGGGCCTCACTATGTTGCCCAGGCTGGTCTCAAACTCCTGAGCTCAAGCATTCCTCCTGCCTCAGCCTTCCAAAGTGCTGGATTTACAGGTATGAGCCACTATGCTTAGCTGTATTTCTTTCTCCAGATATTTACAGAATCTAAATGGAAAAACAAGTTGAACTCAAGGCCAGGAAAATTCATGTCTATACCTATCTGGGGGTCGTTTTTTCTTCCTCTTTCCTCCCTTCTACCTTCTGTTTTCTTCCTTTTTTTTTTTTTAATTATAAAACAACTTTGGTTATAGAAAACTCTTGAGTTTTCTGAGTGCTCCTAAGATGTCTTTTATACTTAATTATGGTAACATCCAAGTTTTCCTGATGTGAGGACATGCAGTTGGGGTTAAAGACTTCTACTGAGATAGTTGACTATTGTTCTGAAATACTTTGGATGGAGCCCTGTGTGGAGGCAGAAATATGAGTGTGAATTATTTAAGTTCGTGTCGTGGTACTACAAAACATTTTAGAAGACAGCAAGAAAATAGCCATTGCTCTTAGAATGACTGTTTTTTTTTTGAATTGGAAATCTTTTAAAATATATTTGGTGCAGAGTGTAGTAATCATTTCTTTTTTTGAAATACGTTGTGACAGATGATGGGAGCTGGATGAATTCTTGCCCCCCCTGCTGGTCATTTTTATGTAACATCTTATTAGTAATAGAGTGGAGATGATGAAGCAATGGTAATGCCAGAATAACAGAAGATACTGAGATGGAATCTATTTTTTAAAATTATCCAAATATAGTAAATTTTAAAATTCTTACTTTTATGAGAGGGTGAAATGAATTTTTGGATTCTTTGTTGTTCATAAAATAATGTAATAAGTTTAGGAAGTAGTTACTGTATTAGTTTTGCCCTTCTGCTGCAACTTCTCATACATTCATGATTACATTAGCAATCTCCTTTCTTCTGTCTATGCATTGGATGCTTTTTCTGCGCTAGAATGTACAGGTGTTTCCTGTTGATTGCTTTGGGTGTTCATTCTAGTAGATTACAAATACCTGTGTCTATTATATATACATACAACAACCAAGAAATAATGTTTATGGGAATAACATATTTAAAGTGAGTGAAACTTGTTTCCTCTTAATAACCAATCTCTTTTACCCAATAAAATGGGTTCATAATTTATAAAGGGTATTAAATATGACTCTACCCAATCATAAATTATATGGAGGCTTTTCGTGGGAAGTAGCCTGCCCTGCTGAGAAGCTTTAGGGGTAAAGTTTCTAGGGCAGTTTTCTGAACAATTTTATTGATGCAATTCCCTGATTGTTAGCATCTAAATTTATTATCTTTCTGAACATAAAACAACTTTATATTTCTCTTCTGAAATTCCTGCCTCGGCTTTGCCCCTGTGAATCCTAGAAAACCAGACTCATTTCAATGCTTGGGGTGTATTTGCGTGTTCACAGACAGCCCTATTAGAGGACTCTTGAAGCCAAAGGATGTCCATTAGCTTGGAATCTGGTGCATGTGCCTCTCACTAAGTGGATGTAAGCCAATTAACTTCTTTAGGCCTTCTAAACTGGATGTTGTTGAGATCTCTCTAGCTTCATCCAAATATTCTAATCAAAATGATTGAGACATTTGACTTCATTTAGGTATTGAGGGAAGCCTTGGAAATAAAGAAAGAGTAAAGTTGCTTTTATTCACTTACAAAGACTCTTAAATACTGCCTGATGTCAAAGCATCCAGGGGACTGGCTGTATTGGGGCATATTTGGTGGACACATGTGCTTAATTTTAAATTGCATCCTCTTATTTTTTTTTTTCCAGTTGCAAATGAAGCTGGAGACAAGAATGCTAGACCGCTGGCCCGCTTCTCTCGTGAGTAAATCTTGTTTTACTCCCTTCCTGGTCCCCATCAGAAAATGTTGCAGGAATCTTACCCCCGTGTGGTATAGCTCTTCGGTCCTGTCAGGCGTTAATAAAACAGTAATGTGGAAATGTCTTCTCTGGTTAATAGTCCACTTGAGCCCAGACTGGTGAGCTACTCATTGCTACTGCCTTTTCAATCCATAGAATTCTGTTTCCAAATTGTGCCTTTGCTATTCCAAGTATGGTCCTCAGAGCAGCAGAATCGATATCACCTGGGAGCTTTTTAGATATGTGGTGCCTCAGTCCCCACCACCCACCACCCCTTCAGACTTATTGAGTCAGAATCTGTGTTTTAACAAATCTCCAGGGGATGTCTGTTCACATTAGAGTTTGAGAAGTGCTTTGCTAGAAGTATCCTTTTTATGAACTTTTATGAAGGTAAAGTGGGGAGAGGTATGTGAAATGCTTGTAGCTATGAAGGCATCATCACCATTCAGCGTGGACTTACGGGCTTACTCCACTGGCTTTTCTTCAGTTTGGTGACATTTTGAAGCCCAGATGGATTGAATGGATTTTCTTAGGCATTGAGAGTATTCCTAGGGCTGTGGTTAGGCCATGGGGTTTCCCTTGACTCCTTTATCTCTAGTCTTGATCCGTATGAGACAGTAGGCGTCTAAAGCCCCACAATGGTTTCTGTACCAATGTGATCAGCAAATTATCCAGCAAGTTAATGCACTCCCTGGAACGAAAACCTGGATTCCAAAGAAGGGAGTGGAAATTCTAGAGATGGAGCAGGGTGGAGTGGAGATGTTCCCAAACCGGCTGTGTACCAGGTGGAGAAATGGTAGAGCTGTAAATAGAAGTGGATTCATTGCTGCCTCACTGGCTTTCACTAAGAGTAATTTCACTCACACTATCTGGGCCTCTGTTTCCTCACCTGGAAAATACGGCAGTCAAAACTGTTGCTGTCTTTAGAAGTTGTGGCATGGGAGGAGCTCTACAAATCCCCAGTCACTGCATTCCTCATTCAGGCTTGATTAGGGCTGAGTGTGGACAGTGCCATAGTAAATCTTGTTATTTTAAGCTCAAAGTATAATTTCTCTATTTACAGGGCTTCTTTTAAACTCTGCCTCCCAGCTCTTTTTGGAAGGCTTTGAAACGTTGGGATTGATTTCCTAGAAATGATTTTTATAGAACTATAATAAGGTACAATAATGAAAGAGCATGATACGCTCATAGTTTAGAAATTGTGTAATAAAACACTTGGTTCTCATGAGCCCCATTTCTCACTGCCCTCCTACCTGGAATCATTATTTCCAAAATAGGCATTTCATCCCACAGCTCGATGAGGTTGAGGAATATGCTTTTATCCCATTTTTTTCTTCATCTCCTGAGCAGTGGTCAGGAAAATTAATAAGCTGGAATCGTGACTCGGCCATCCTGTGAGGGCTGCGCTGGGTGCCCCTGGCCCCAAGGGAGCCTTTCACCACAAGACAGAGGAAGACAGGGGGTCCTTGCATGAGAGTTAGGGCAATTAGTCCCTTCACAGAGAAAGGAAGGTAATTTCTGTAAACTTCACAACTGTATGATTGGGTTGAAAGGGTGATGTGTTTCTTGAAAGCTTATTAGCTTGAGACAAGTGAGGACATGAACAAATATCTATATAGGAAACAAGTAATTAGTGGCAAACCAATTAGGTTGGATTGATATGGGGGGAAAAAGGAGAAAAACACCTCCTGAGTAATGTCTTGAAAATAAAATCAGATGACATGTGAGCTACTAAGTCTTTCTGAAGTCAATACCAGAGAGGGAAAGATTAGGTGACTTTTAGGAAGGCATTTTTGTTTTTTTTAGGTGTAGCAATATCTGATTGACACTCAATTCACTTTACCGCCTTGAAACTGACCTTCATTGTGTGGTGTGACTGAAGGGTTCAGTTTGGGAAGGTTGGAAGGATTTGGATGGGAGACTTTTTTTTGAGACTTGGAAGATGATGTATTGCAATATTTTCTAATTTTTGAATCCAATAGGACAGAAAGCCACGAAGGTGTGCATTTCCCAGCTTGGAATCAGGCACGATGGGCATGGGAGGCCAGAGCCTCTGCTGTGATGGCTGGACCCTTCAGGGGTCAGCAGAGACTGATCTGGGAGGAGGGGACAGGGGAAGGGCTGGTTGTGGTGGTGGGTGCTGTGGAGTGAGTTCCATGAGACACTGGATCTATCAGGTCCCTTCACCACCCCTGCCCCATCACTGCAGGGTCAAGCATTGGCTTCTGATCAATCTGACTTCAATCGGAGCATCTGCCTAGCAACCGTGGGCACACAGAGTAACATGGGAAGTCATTCTCCTAAGACTGGGAGTTAGGAAGGAGGAGGGAGGAGGGAGGGGGACTGAAAGGAAGTGGAAAATATCTCTTTCCCTCACAAATGGGAGAATGACAGTGTCCAGGAAAGTGAAGAGTTGTGAATGATCTTGACTTGAGAGTGCTGTGTGAATGCAGGCACGCTGGCTTCTGCCCAGCAGATGGTTTGAGAATGGCATCTGTCACAAGGCCACCTGTCCTTGGGTGACAGCCACTGGTGTGGGCACTGCCACACTCTGCAGTGGGCAGAGTGAGCCAGCAGAGCACCTCAAGTAAGTACTGCATGGAAGGTACCTCACATGGATACTGTCTGGTGGGTACCCCATGTTGGTACTGCATGGTGGGCACCTCATGAGAGTACTGCATGGTGGGCACCCCATGTGGGTACTGCACGGTGGGCACTTAGAGTACTGCATGGTGGGCACCCCATGTGGGTACTGCATGGTGGGCACCTCAGAGTACTGCATGGTGGGCACCCATGTGAGTACTGCATAGTGGGCACCTCATGAGAGTACTGCATGGTGGGCACTTCATGAGAGTACTGCATGGTGGGCATCCTATGTATGTACTGCATGGTGGGCACCCCATTTGGGTACTGCATGGTGGACACCTCGGAGTACTGCATGGTGGGCACCTCAGAGTACTGCATGGTGGGCACCCATGTGGGTACCGCATGGTGGGCACCCCATGAGAGTACTGCATGGTGGGCACCCCATGTGGGTACTGCGTGGTGGGCACTTCATGAGAGTACTGCATGGTGGGCACCTCGTGTGTACTGCATGGTGGGCACCTCAGAGTACTGCATGGTGAGCACCCCATGTGGGTACTGCATGGTGGGCACTTCATGAGAGTACTGCACGGTGGGCACCCCATGTGGGTACTGCATGGTGGGCACCTCATCCTCATGAGAGTACTGCATGGTGGGCACCCCATGTGGATACTGCATGGTGGGCACCTCATCCTCATGAGAGTACTGCACGGTGGGCACCCCATGTGGGTACTGCATGGTGGGCACCTCAGAGTACTGCATGGTGGGCACCCATGTGGATACTGCATGGTGGACACTTCATGAGAGTACTGCATGATGGGCACCTCATGAGAGTACTGCATGGTGGGCACCTCATGAGAGTACTGCATGGTGGGCACCCCATGTGGGTACTGCATGGTGGGCACCTCATGAGAGTACTGCATGGTGGGCACCCCATGTGGGTACTGCATGGTGGGCACCTCAGAGTACTGCATGGTGGGCACCCATGTGGATACTGCATGGTGGGCACTTCATGAGAGTACTGCATAGTGGGCACCTCATGTGTGTACTGCATGGTGGGCACTTCATGAGAGTACTGCATGGTGGGCACCTCATGAGAGTACTGCATGGTGGGCACCCCATGTGGGTACTGCATGGTGGGCACTTCATGAGAGTACTGCACAGTGGGCACCCCATGTGGGTACTGCATGGTGGGCACCTCATCCTCATGAGAGTACTGCACGGTGGGCACCCCATGTGGATACTGCATGGTGGGCATCCCATGTGGGTACTGAACGCCAAGCTCTCTGACAGCCAGTGCTCGTTACATCAGCTGGTTGGTGTCTTCCTATTACAAATAAGGTTAGTGAGGCTTGGAAAACAGACTGAGAATTGCTCACTGCTGGAACTCTAGCTCTCCCAACTTCAAATCCTGACTGTTACCAGTTCACATTACTTTCTTCCTGGTCCAAGGGGCTGGAGTTTGCCACTTCTATGGCTCAGGGACTTGGGGTCTGCCAGCTTGATGGTGGAGGTGCTTCAGCCTCAGCACAGGGCAAGCTTCACAGACTCACGCTGGAATGACCCACACTGCAATTGATTTCACCTGGGAAAGGACAATTTTTCCTGAATGCCCTTTTCTACCAGCTCACTGATACTAGAAGCTTCTTAAAATAAGGGAAAAAATGGAAGATTCCTGTGTCAGGACATTTAGTGCTACAATAACAGAATACTCGAGACTGGGTAGTTTATTTTTTATTTTATTTTTTTGAGGCAGAATCCCTCTCTCGCCCAGGCTGGAGTGCAGTGGTGTGATCTTTGCTCACTGCAGCTTCCGGCTCCCAGGTTCCAGCAATTCTCCTGCCTCAGCCTCCCAGGTACCTGGGATTACAGGCATGCACCACCATGCCCGGCTAATTTTTCAATTTTTAGTAGAGACGGGGTTTCACCATGTTGGCTAGGCTGGTCTCGAACTGCTGATCTCAGGTGATCTGCCCACCTTGGTCTCCCAAAGTGCTAGGATTAGAGGCATGAGCCACCATGCCCTGCCAAATTAAGTAATTTATAATGAACAGAAATTGATTTCTTACAGTTCTGGAGGCTGGGATTTCCAAGATCAGGGCACTGGCATCTGGTAAGAGATCTCCTGCTGTGTGCTCACATGGTGGAAGGTGTATGGGCGAGAGAGAACAAACATCCGTGTCAAGCCCTTTTGTCATGGCATTAATCGATTTGCGAGGGTTCTGCCTCCCAAAGGCCCCACATACCCCCACTGTTGCACTAGGGATTAAGTTGTGAGATACTGAACTGTGGAGGCAGCACAAACACTCACACCACAGCAACTTGAAAGGAAAATCTTGGGAGAAGGGACACAGTGATTTATTCTTACTATGCTGAAA